ACCAGGGGGAAGTGGAGGCAGCAAACCCTTCCTCTTGCCCATCAAGGGCTTCTCATCACTGCAATTAAAGCTGAATTAATAACAGCATGGATTTTTCAGTGGGGAAAACACAACAGCGAAACCTTGATCTTCCTCAGGTACCAAAACAGATCCAAGGCCTTGATCCAAAGGAGAAACCAGGGAAAGCAGAACAAGAGAAAGAAAAATTACCAGTGAAACCCATCTGGCTCACAGCATCCACGGAAATCCATGCAAACCCACCTTCCACAGCCCCTCCAGGCTCTGCTGGGGCAAAGGGGGCTGGAATGAAAAATTAATTGTAAGCTGTTACTTAACACAGATTTTGAGACAAAAAGAAGAGAACAAAGGAGTCCTTCAGGCAAAAAATGTGGAAAATGACAATCATTAATAACGTCAACTCCTCACTCCAGGATTTTCATCAGTTGGCTGAGGTGGCATCACATTGTCAAGTCACAAAAGCCATAAACACACCCAAAAAAACCTGATTGATGCCAGAAAAATAAATGCAGAACTCACCAACATCAGGAGCTCTAGTTGGGGTGTATCCAGAATGCCCAGACTTGGAAAGGCCTGAAACCATCCTGGAGTTTCCTGGTTGGTGGAAAAAACTCTGAAAATGCATTCCTGAGAGGAGGAATCCTCTCTTCAGAATTCCTAATCTCCCATGATGAAGTGTTGGTGTAAAAAACAAGGATCGCAAGCACATTTTTAGAACACTGTTTCTGGATTTCCATGAAGCCCAAGTTCTCCTCTTCTCAGGGAGGATGGAGAAGATGCAGGAGGTCTGAAATAGTTCAGAAACACACATTTGAAAGTGGTCTTTTTCCCTTTTTGATAATCCAGATAGCAGGAGCTGGTGTGCCATCTATTAAACTATAAACAAAGACATAAAAGAAGAATTCCTAATCCACATCCAAGAAGGGCTGGAGGTTCAAAACCCAGACCCCACCCAGGACTTCAGCATCTGGAGTGTCCCATCTCACACCTCAAAACATTCCCAGGCCTGGACTTTGATTTGGGTCTGCAGCCCTTTGTGTTGTTTTCTCGGGGGTGCAGCATTTTCCAGGCTCTTTCCAGCAGAATTCTTTCCATGCTGCCCATCACAATTTTTATGGAGTCACGAGGCAAATTTACAGCTGAGAAACTTCTCCCTGGCCCCACGCTGCCTCCCAGCTTTGATGTGCACAGCCCTATAGCCATGAAAATTCACATCCACTTAACTCAAATCCCTGCTAATCAAATCCTTGGGAGTCAGCACGTTCCTGGGTGGATTTGCAGCTGCTGCAGCAGTTTGGGCACCACGTGGCCACCAAAACCCTTCCCTGGGAGCTCAGGAGTGGCACAAATGCTCCCCAAGTACCCAGGAGAATGAGAGATAGCAGCAGGATTGCCAGGACACATCTTGCAAGCAGCATTCCCAAAGGAAAATACCCCAAACACCCTCCTGAAAAGTCTGATGCTGCATCCCAACAATGTTCACCAGCCCAGGCCCTTGCAGGACCCTTTTATGCAGTTCCTAAAGCCCAGCTGGGGCCCAGAGCTCTCAGTCTGGGGCAGTTTAGGGCACACCCAGGAGGAACCACTCTGGAACTGGGAATCACCTGAGGCTTCCTGGGGACAGCCTCCAGTGGGTGCTTTCCTGTCTGGGGGGACAAACACCTCTTCCATCCTCTCTGGGCTCCCTGTGCCAGGGCCACACAACCCTCACAGCCAGGAATCCCTTCCCAAAATCCCATCTGTCCCTGCCCTCTGGCAGTGGGAAGCCATTCCCTGTGTCCTGTCTCTCCATCCCTTGTCCCCAGTCCCTCTCCACCTCTCCTGGAGCTCCTTTAGGCTCTGGAAGAGGTTCTGGGGTTGCCCTGGAGCCTTCTCCTCTCCAGGTGAGCACCCCAGCTCTCCCAGCCTGGTCCCAGAGGGGTTCCAGCTCTTGTGATCTCCTCTGGATTCACTCCAGCAGTTCCATGTCCTTCTGATTTTGGGGTTCCAGCGTTTGAGGCCCTGAGTTTGGGGTTCCGGAGTGTGGTCTCAACAGGGCAGAGGGACAGAACCCCTCCTCCTGCTGCCCACACTGGGGAAGTGCAGGCCCCTCATTGTTACCCCCAGCCCCTCTCACTGTGGCCCACCAGCCCCCTAAATTCCCCCTCCTGCACCCCAACTCTGTGCCCTGGTTCTCCAGCACAGCTGGTGCCTCCCCACTTTGCCTCCTGCACCAATCTGGTTTTTTAAAAATCCTTTATTTCCATCCCCATCCAATTTCTTCCCCTTTCCTGGTTTTCTTTCCAAGCAGAGGGTTTCCAGCTTGGGATGGGGATGGCCACAGTGTAACTCCAGAGCTTTGTCCCGTGGCCTTTCCCAGCCTGGCACGCAGCGCTCAATTTGGAGCGCAGTGTCCTCGCTCTGTTCCATGCCGAGCTCTGTTGTCCGGAGGAATTAATTCCAGATTATTTGTGGGTGTGGACTTCAGCTGGGCAAAATTTGGATACCCTGGTTGAGTCATTATTGTCTGATGAATCTCTTGGTGACAGCCTTCGCCCCTATTGTTCTGAGGTGAGCCCCGTGGCAAGAAATGTGAAAGCAAGAAACAAAAGAATATAAAGAAAGGTTACGAAATCAAATTCAGTTAAGGCAGGGTTATTGTCCCTCCATCCCGCCTCTCTGGCCTCCATTTGGGATTGGATTTGGCAGGAAAACAACCCCCATGGGACAGGGGCTGGGGTTTAGAGCAGGTTCTGGGGGGAGCCCGTCCCCATGGGACCCTGGTGGCCCCAGTGACACAGCAGAGACAGGGAGGAGGAGTTATCATCAATTCTTAACATTTTATTTCTTTACTGGGTTAAACAAGGAGCAGAGAAAACCTCGGCCCCAAAATACAACAGAACTGAAAGCATTACAGGTACAGAGACTATTGAACACAGAGAGTAGTAGGATAATATTTTAATACAACTGAATTATAGCATGGGATTGTGTTTTTGTTGGGTTTTTTTTGTTTGTTTTTTGTCAAACCAGTTTGGAAAATAAATGTAATAGGAACTAGTGCAAAAAAGTTCTAAACATGAAGCACAGTGTATAAAATGGCATAAGAAAACTGTCCCCTCGAGGACACAGTCACTTTCTTATGACAGAAGGGAGAAAGAGAAACAGAAGGGGGGTGGGAACAGAGGGAGGGTCCAGGAGGTGGAGGAGGAAAAGCTGGAAAGAAAGAGAAACCGGGCCGGGGGATTAGAAAGGATACTTTGACTTCAGCAATGTTGGTTTGTGTTTCACCACCACGCACTGTTAAAGGACCTCGTTGGGGCCGGGCCGAGCTCTGTCACCACCCACATGGCACAAGCACTTGGGAAGGGTTCGGGCAGCAGCAGCCGGGGCACTGCAGGGGTCGGGGCCCACAGGTGCCCCCAAGGTCCCCAGAGGTGCCCCCAAGGCCCTGGGACACCCACGCAAGGCAGGGAGCCCCAGCTCAGACACGCTCCAGAGGGAGAAGGGCACGAGGGGCTGGGCTCTCCTCCTGCTCTCCCTTCCCACATCCCTCAAGGACCAGCACTTGGAATTTGTTCCCAATTTCCACCCCCGGGCTCAGATGGCAGCGTCTCCCTTTTGAAGGCATCCTGAGGCTGTGTCCCAAGGGGAGGCTCGGAGGAGCTGGATTCAGTTTGGGTTGGAACAGAAAACCAAACCAAACCTCCCTCAGAGCGATGGCTGGGGATCCCCAGGAATTCCTGCCCGGCATCAGCATCCCTGATCCCCACGGGGAAGGTGTCCCTGCATTCCCAAGGTGTTATCCCGGCCTGCTCAGCCAGGATTTGCTCCAGCCTGTTCCCACCATGGAGCCACCCAGCCTCCTGCCCTGGAGAAACTGGCTGGATGCTATTTTAAGGAGAGCTGGTTGGAATTCCTTGCAAATTGCTATTCTCTCCCAATCCGCTGCTGCCCGTTCCAACTCTGGGAGCAGAAAAAGTGTGATTGATTTTTTTTTTTTTTTTTGCCTCGTTTTCTTTTTGGAAAATGAAAGGTTTTGTGGGAAAGGACTGTTCTGGATGCATTTCTCAATTTGCAAAAAAAAAAAAAAAAAAGAAAAAAAGAAAAAAACTGGTCATAATGATCAATCTGGCTTGTTTTGACAAGTTTCAAAATCAAAAAAAATCACTGTCTGGCTTTTTTGTCTTTTTGTTTTGCAACTTAAGCATGTCCAGTTCCCAAATACATTTAAAAATGGTAAAACCAACCCCAAATTTCATAAGCCAAACCTAATTCTTGGGGTTTTCTTGTTGAGTTTCAGTTCACAACAAGCAGAGTTGTCGACTTTCTGGGCTGAAGAAAGATCATCCTGAAGTGCTAAAAAGGCTGGAGGGACTGGGCTCAGGAACTCACCCATCTCCTGCCCAGGCCTTTGAGAGGGGCTGAGAGCTTTGATAAAACCCCAACCACTTTTAAAATTTATTATTCCTTTTTTTTTTTATGATCCTCAATTAAAAATGGTCCATCCCCCACCACTTTGCTCCCTTCCTCCTTCCTCACAGAGACATGCAAGGCTGGGAGGTTACCCAAAGAGCCACCTGGACCAAGAACACCCAAAAAGAGCTGCTAAAGTCCTTCCATTCCTGGGGTAAAATGGACTCATGGTGGGAGCTGTGCAGCTCCAGGGCTGCTGTGATGCAGGAGCTCCGAGCAGGCTCCCTTTGTGGCAGAAGGGATGATTTTGTGCTGGTGTGATGGTGGTGCCCCCAGCTGGGATGCCAATGAGCTAACTTTTGAGCTGAAGGAGATCCTTAACATCCAACCTGAACACCTGACATGGCCCTTCCAAACTTTTCCAGCCTAGTTTAAGAAAGATTCAACCCCCAGGGATGGGAAGCATGAAAAGCTGATTCACAGAATTCCCTGCCTGTCTTGGGTTACAATGTAAGATGTACCAAAAGATAGGTGGGGCAGTGTTCTTTATCTTCTCCATGATAACTCCCTCCAGGGAAGAGCCAGCCACTCTGTGGGGAGCCATCTCCACTAATGGGTCATCAGCGTTCCACTCATAGAATCACCTCATCCCATTGTAGATGCTCCACCCAGGGGGAGGAACCAAACATTCCTAGCTGGATAGAATCTGAGGCCTGGAGCACCACAGGAGCACTACCACTGCATTCCCAGAGGACAAGAGCTCCATAACCACCATGGGACCTCCAGAGAAGGACCAGATCTTTCTAGAGGATCACTGCTTTGACAGAACCACATCCATCACTCCAACAGCCCCCATCTAATCAGACTGCTCCCACCACCCTGACCAACAGGCTCTCAGGTCATACTCTGACTCTGTCAGTCTAAGCCAGTGCTTCTGTACTACTGCCTTTACTTGAATTTTCCTAATTAATTGTAGTTGTGGCTTGGAATCTCCTGCTGCTTTGCTCTCAAGCTGGAACATTTCTGGTGCCCAGAGTGGGGCACCCCTGGAGGATGGTGGCAGTGAAGCACAGTGCTCTCTCCTTGCTGAGGCTCATGGTGAGGACTCGGACCCGCAGCGGGATGGAGAGGCCGGCACAGAGGGGAGCGATGGGGGAAAGCCCACGGGGAGAAGGGAGGCCTGGTGTCAGCTGGGCATGGAGAAGGGGAATTCACCCACCTGGATGGGGATGAGGAGGGTACAAAGAGGAGGATGATGGGAACAGCAGGCAGCCAGAAGATGATGATTTACAGACTGAAAAACCTGAGGCAGGTGACCTAAAGGAATTCCAAGAAGTGGAGGAAAGAGATCCTCAGGAACTGGTTGCTTCTGTTGCAGAGAGAGTGTGGAACATGTCTTCAGATAAGATCAAAATCCCTCCTGAGCCTCTTGGCAGATGTCTTAACCAATTGCAGGATGAAATTAAAAAGCCGTACGAGAGGAAAATGAAAGAGAGCATGGATATGAACTACATCATCCAGAACAAAAAGGAATTTCACAACCCCAGCGTCTATGAAAAGCTGATCCAGTTTTGTTCCATTGATGAAATTGGTACAAATTGCCCAAAGGCCATGTTTGATCCTCATAGCTGGTCAGAGGATTCATATTGCGAGGCACTAGCTAAAGCCCAGAAGACTGAGATGGACAAATTGAAGAAGGCCAAGAAAGAAGGTACAAAGATTGAATTTGTGACTGGCACAAAAAAGGGTACAGCAAGAAGCGCTGGTTCCACAACCACCACAACATCCAGCACCACTGTGGGAGATGCCCAGAAGAAGAGGAGGAGGAGCAAGTGACACATGTTGAGGAAGGGTCTCAAAGAATGACTCATAAAATCATATAATCTCATTGTGAGCTCCCCCACCTTGAGAGGAGGAACCAAACATTCCTAGCTGGATAGAATCTGAGGCCTGGAACACCACAGGAGCACTACCACTGCATTCCCAGAGGACAAGAGCTCCATAACCACCACTGGACCGACAGAGAAGGACCAGACCTTTCTAGAGGATCACTGCTTTGACAGAACCACATCCATCTCTCCAACAGCCCCCATTTAATCAGACTGCTCCCACCACCCTGACCAACAGGCTGTCAGGTTGTACTCTGACTCTATCAGTCTAAGCCAGTGCTTCTGTACTACTGCCTTTACTTTAATTTTCCTATTAAATTGTAGTTCTGACTTGGAATCTCCTGCTGGGTTGCCTTCAAACACTGCCCCATCACTTTCTGGAGTGTGTCTGTCCTGACATTGTCTCCACCAAGCCCTACAGGCATTCCTTTCCCAGACAGCAGCAGGAATGGGATTAGGATGAATCACAAGCTGAGGGTAACCTGGGCTATGGGACTTCACCCCCTTTGGCTCTGTGAAAATCATGGAATCCCAGAGTGGTTTGGGTTGGAAGGGACCTTCAAGATCATGCAGTTGCACCTCCTGCCATGGAGGGACACTTTTCAGTATGCCAGGTTGCTCCAAGCCCCATCCAACCTGGCCTTGGACACCCCAGGGACGGGGCATCCACAGCGTTTCCAGGCAACCTCAAAAAACCATCCCAAACCACCACGCTCGGTGCCACCAGAGACCAGGAGGCACCTGCAGAGCTCAGCACAGGGACACTCCATGGCCTGGCCTCCCAGTGTCCTGCCCAGGAGCAGCAGATATCTGGGATTTTGGGATTTTCCTTTATTCCCTTCCTCCAGGCGGCAGCCGAGTGTCTCCCGGCCCCGCCCGCGGCCCTGAGTGGCAGTGAATGAACTGCCCTGACATCTCCTCTTGAAGCAAAGTAAAATGTGTTGAAGATAAACCAGTTCCAGATGTTTTCCCAGTGTTGCCAAGTTACTCAACATGTTCTGCTTTAGTTGTCAGATGATTTCAAAGCGATTTCCCTAACTCTGAGCACGAATGGTGAGGGCTCTCCCTGGGAATCTTCTGCCTGGGGCTACCATGGATCTGTATTTTCATAAGAAAAAGACTCAGCTAATGATTAATGTTCCCCAGAGGAAGCGGGGCCTTTCTTTGGGATTTTTCTTCAGTTATTTTTAATTAATTTGTACAACTGGCAGCTACATGAAAGTGCAAAACCCGGGAATAACGCTGGACCCGACTCCTTTTGCTCCTTCTCTCTGCCCACACCTGGAGCTTGTGGAGACATCATCATCCCTCACTTCCCTGGGGATGAGAAACCCCCTAACCAGGGAGGAATCACTGCTTCCCACTGGGAATTTTCTCTGAGCAAAGAGAAGTTTGTCTACTGAAGGAAAAGTTGAGTTTTACTTATAAATCCCAACATGGGGCATCTTCTTTAGGGAGAAGAAATAAGATCATTGGATGAAAAGGACAAAGCCTCTTGGGTTTAAGTTCCTGGTAGGATAAATCATTTAGAGCTCATGTTTTCCAAGGTGGCTTTGGGAATGTGGAAAGCATTTGGGATTGCAAAGGGCAATGGTGGACACAGGACTTGGGGTGAAGCATTCTTGGACACACACACAGGGTAAGGAAGCCCTTCCCCTCCTTGTCCAGGCACATTCCTTCTTTATCCAAGCACACTCGCTCCTTTTCCAGGCCCATTCCCTCCACTTTGTAATAAAAATAATGGCAGTGGTGTTAAGTGAGACAATGTCACCGTCTGCTTCTCAAGCTGTTCTTTCAGAGAGCAAAGACAGAGTACTCAGGGATGGAGGATTAGGAGGTTGTAATGTCAGACCAAAAGCAGGAATTTTATCCAATGGGCTCCTGATGATGGACTGCTCCATACACCACTTCCAGCTGCTCCTGCTCTGGGAACAGCCTCGTCTGGATCCATTTAAACAGATTGGCAAAGTGTTGAATGCAGCATATGGTGCCCTAAAACCACAGAACTTATTGACAGCAGCCCAGACTCACTAAAGAAAAGATCTTCTACAGCCTTGCTCTGGGAAGACCCAGCACTTTCCTCCTACTTGCAGCAGGTAAAGTCCACCCCACGCTCCCAGAGAGGATCCACATCCTCTGTGCTCTCTCTGGCATCTTGTCCTCTTGGGAACATCCCTCAGGAGCTGTGGCCGGGAAAACACATGGATCTCCTGTCCTGGGGGCCTCCTCACTCCTGGCGGATGGGGCTCAAACCTCCCCAGTAGCCACCCAAACCAGCCCAATTCTGAATTGGCTCCACTTCCCGATTCACTGGGATGCAACACCTCCTGAGGGAAGGCTCCAGCAGGTGTTAGGGAAGGTGGAACTGCTTCTCACAGCTCCCAGGTTATCCCAGCAAATCCCTGCCAGCACCCCCTGAAGATGACTTGGGTTGTTGGATCTCACTCCTGCAGTTCTGTGAAAATAATGGAATCATGGAATGGTTTAGGTTGAAGGGATCTTAAAGCCCATTCTGTTCCACCCTCTGCCATGAGCAGGGACACTTCCTACTGGTTGCTCCAAGGCCTGTCCAACCTGGCCTTGGACACTTCTACAGCTTCTCCGGGAATCCCACATCACCCATCACCACCCCCAGGCCTGGCCTGATGCTCCATCACCAGCAGGACACAAGGGCTTCAGGGCAGGGAGAAGGCCACACATCCCTCAGGGAGGTGCTGGATCTGGATGTGTGCAGGGACCGAGGCCACCCCGTGCCCGCCAGCGCTGCTCAGTGTCACACATGACACAATGCACAGGGCCAGTGACTCAGGGCCACTTGCTGACGCACCACACTGGGCTATTCTTCTCTCTCCTGATGAGTCGCTCCAAGATTGGACACAGTCTATCTCCGAGAGAGGCGCCTGCAATTAGCTTAACTCTTGGCAGTGCAGGAGAAATCTAATTTCCTTCGGGATCCGGCTGTCTGGAGGCAGGGACAGGGCTGTGCTCCCTCCCCTGGCCTGCCTGGGAGCTTTTGCTCCTTGTCAGAGCAGCTCCACAACCCCCTGCTCACAGAAAACCCAGGGATTGGATCCTGGCTTGCAGAACTGCTCCATGTCCAGCTGTTCTGATTGGTGTAAACTATATGGATGTCATGAGGAATAGTCAAATGAGAGACACCCCACTTTTTGGGTGGTAGCAGCAAGGGAATCTGCTCGGGAAGCACTCTCCATCTTCCATGTGCACCACCTCTCCCACCCCAAAAACCATGGGACAATGGGATCACAGGCCTCGTCTCTGCAGGACTTTGGGAACAGGCAACTGGTAGTGTGTAAACATCACCCCAAAGCTCTGAGATTCAAGTCAAAGCAGGAATCAAACATTCAGCTGCTTCTCAGAGCCTCTTTGGTCTGGAAATGGGCTGGAAATGTCAGGAAACCTGTGCTTCCCACGAGATGCCTGGTACTTCCTTCTTCCAGCCAGGCAGGAAGTAGCTTTGCTCATGGGGCTCTGCTCATGGGGCTCTGCTCACGGGGCTCTCCTTGGTTTTGCTTCACCTCAACAGACCAGAAACCATAAAACTCCTACAGATTATCAACTCTGGGACTTCTTGCACCCTCACAGGGATCTGGGATCACTTTGGGATGCAGGACATTCTTCTTGCTCCATCCCTGTCTCCTGCAGTGACCCACACAGGGCTCTGCTGTAGGTTCCTGTCAAGAGCCAGCCTGGAAACAGAGGGACCATCCCAGCCCCTCTGGGAGCAGGGAGTGGGCTCACACCCAGCTCGTGATCTCGTGCTAAAACACCCTCTCTTCCTTCCCTGCCCACACCCAGGACAAATTACAGCCCCTGGTGCCCAGCCTGGAGGCACCACCTCAGTGTCCATGCTGGGAACAGTTCTGGTGGCTGGGTGGAGAATTGGGAGTTTCCTAGGAAATGACCTGGGGATCAGATCCTAGGGATCTGATGTTTGTGTGGGGCTGAATCCCTGGATAAGCTGAGCTCAGGTTAAAAATCCACCCCAAGTAAGCCAAATGAGGCTACACCAGCCAGCACCTTGCCCAGCCAAGTCCAGCTGGGCTCCCAGAAATTTCCGGATCTGGGGGCATCCATGGATTGAAACTATTCACAAAAATGCTCCTCCCTAGCTGGGCCTTATTAGTGCCTCTTTGTGTGGGAGACTCTCCCTCCAAGCCAGATTTCTCCAGCCCGTTTGCCCAGTCCTCCTGCCATCCAGTCAATGATTTGTAGCTGGGAAGCATGGAAGGATGCCTTTGGGATTCCCTGCATCCAACTGCTGCCACGTGGGATCCTCTCCCTCACAGCCTGTGTGCTGCTGGAGTCACATCTCCCAACTCCTCACTGAGACCAGTCCCACCAGCCGGGGAGGACAACAAAAAAGGTTATACCAAATCATCAGGACACTTTGCAAAGTGGGATGTGGGAATGCTGGGGACATCCCTCCTGCTCCATGCCTCCTCCCTCTCCTCCTCCTCGAATAGAGCAGCAGGAAAGGCCAGCTGGAGGAGCAGGCTGGGATGCAGTGAGACCAACCCCGAGTGGTACCACAGTGCAGTGTCACAGCGTCCCACTCCTGTCACCAAACGCCATCAGCGAGGCAGCGCCGCGCTGAGGACACTGCGCCCCACCAAGGCGGCTCTGCCCCGAGCCCCAGCGGCTTTTCCCTGGGACAGGACTGGGCCAGGCTGTGCCGGGAGGTGCTGCCCCTCTGCCTGCTCCCTCGGCATTCACACCCAGGAGAAAAGGAACCAGGGCTGGGCTGACCGTCCAACCTCGGCACGGCGCGGGCGGGGGAGGCGCGGGCACTCAAGGCACTCGCGGCAGCGGCCGGGGGACGCCCGGCAGTCCCATGGGGACACCCTTCGATTCCCAGGGACCCCTCCCCTCGGTCCCCCCGCCTCCGTGCCGTTCCTGCCCTCCCGGCGCCTGCGGGGCCGGGAATGCTGGCCCTGCCCGAACCCTTCTGGCGCCGGGTCCCGCAGCCCTGTGCGCGTTAGAGACTCTTCACCACGGGGATGCCCCGCGCGAGCAGCTCTTGGGGGATGTGCGGGGGTGCGTGAGCGCCACCCCCAACCCCGTGCCTCCCATTGGAGGAATAGCATGTGCCCCCCTTATGGGAAAAGATCTGGCGTTCTCCTTGGAGGTCGGCTCTGCCCTCTGTGTCACTCGTCCCGGGCCACGCTCTCCTCCAGGGCGGGCGGGGCCTCCAGGCCGAGCCCCCCGGCGCCGCCGTGCACGCTCGAGAAGGACACCATGGTGTGGAGGAGCATCAGGACCAGCACGCACAGTCTGATCCTGCTGCTGCCGAGGCGAGACCCTGCGGAGACCGGCAGCAAGGACGGGGAGCGAGGCTGGTGGTACTGGTGGTACTGGTGGTGGTGGTGGTGGTAGAGGTGGTAGTGGTTCTGCCTCTGGTGATGGAGGTGGGGGTCGTGGCGGTGGAAATGGAGCGACTCTGACGCCGTGGATTTGCGGGATGTGTCCTCGTTGCTGTCTGAGGGGTGCTCGCAGGAGTCCCATTGCACCTCGCAGCACTTGGCCTCCTCGTCGGGCAGCTGGTTCTCCAGCAGCCCTGCAGGGAGGAAGGGAGCAGAGGAGGGGTCAGCGGAACACTGAGGAGGAAGCAAGCCCTGGTGCCCACCAGCCGTGGGATGGGCACACCTGAGAACCAGGACATCCAGACACCCCCTGGCACTGGCCCCAGCATGTGTGAGCCTGCACACACCAGCAAGGCGAGCTCAGGGCTCCCCAAATCCTGCGCACAGTGGTTCAATATCCCCACCCTGCTTTAATCCATCACCTGCAGCTCCCTCTACGCTTTAGCTTTCAGTCAGAGGTAGGACTTTCACCTCCTGGGCTGAGATGTTGCTGTGTCCCCATTAACCCCTTACCCCCGTACCCTTGGCATGGCCACGTTTTGGCATGAGGCAATGTTTCCACACTGCCCCTCCTCCCACTCCATCCCGGCAAACCTTCCAAACGCGGGGAGTGGCTTGGAAATTCTCCAGGGCTCACCATCACCCCCCTGTGCCCGGTGTGAGCCCGGCCCTCCTTACCCGTACAGATGAAGCCAGGCAAACCTCCATAGATCAGCTCATCATTGTCCGGTAACACGAAGGGGCACCTGGTCTGCACCTCCAGGCAGTATTGCTTGCATGGGATCCGCTGCCGGCACTGCTGCTGGGTCACGTTGAAGTACTCGGAGCACAGCCACGCCTTGTAGACAGCCTGGGGGACATCATGGACACGGACACGTCACTTCCCAAGCACCGGGACAGCTGGAGCACCGCAGGGTGGAAGGGGATGGGAGAGCTCCCAGCTCTTGTGGGAAATGTGTGTTGGGGTCATTTGTTGGATTCAAACAATCCACTGGAGTGTAACAATGGTGGAATTCGTCTATCCAGCTAAATCCACCATGAAAATAAAGCTAATTACCACATGGACTAATGTCCCCTACAGACAGGCATCGTGACAGATTCTGCCAGCATCAGCGACCCAAGAGCTCAGTTTGTCACACAAAAATACAAACACTGCTTATCACCTGTCCCAGAGTGTCCTCCTCATCCCCAAGACATCCCACTGCTCTCCTGGGGAAGATTCTCACCTCCTCTAAAGTGCCTTGGCCACTATCAGCTCTGGACATGGGACAGCAGAAAACATCATGGGCTGTTCTTTACTGGAAATTTCCTGCTGGAAAAGCTGCTGGACAGAAGCAGCTGGGATGCAGCACATGCAGCCACTGCACCTCAGGCTTGTCCCTCTCTGCCACCAAATAACACCTTCCTCACCTTCTCCACCAGGTCCTGGGAGAGGTTCCCGATTCCCTGACACCTGGAACTTCTGCTGTGCCATTTCTTTGGCTGAAGCAGGAAACTTGTTCATTTTCCATGGATGTTCTGGCACTGAGATATACCAGGTAGTCCATGTACTCTGTTCACCTTCCTTCAAGCTGTGCTTGGCAACATTTCCAGAAGGAAGAGCACCCTGGGGGTTCAGCTGTGACTGCAAGGCTGTGCTACATTCCCTGCCTGTCCATTACTGGGTTCCCCTCTTCCCTTCCAGCCTCTGTGAGCTTGTGCCCACAGCAGACAGCCGGGCATAGCCCAGTTGGCTCAGTTACGCTGCAAGAGACCCGTGGCACTTCCAGCTCATGCATGAACTCATGAGGGCATGAGTGACAGCACCATGGTCATTCCATGGCCACATCCAACTTCCTTTGAAACCAGCTAGAAAGGGCTCCCTGTGATTCAAAGGGAATGAGTTTCCCTCCTCTGCATGCTCAGAGAAACCCCCTGCTCTGCCTTCCAGCTGCATTTTCATTTTCTCGAGGCTTTAAACCCATCACTTCTTTGTCTCCCCATGTTTTTCATAGATCCTTATCATTGTTTCTTTGGCCTACGGTGGTGTCAGGATTAAAGCTGGTTGGGAAATTCTTGGCAAGTTATTTTAGTTTGTTTTTTTTTGTCTTGTAAAATGCCAAATCATGAAAGCCAGAATTTTCACAGAATTGTGACAGCTTTGGTGAAACTTTCATCTCAAAAAGTTTAATGGGCACCAGGACACAATTTATGGAGTGAACATTTTGGAGCAGTCCCCAGCACTGTGGGCAGGGCTGGCCCCTGGGATGTGGGAATGCAGGTGCTTGTTCTCCTTGTCCTGTAACACACATGCTCCAGACACACTCCAGCGTAATGTGGAGCAAAACAGACAGAGGCCTTATTAATTACCTTAATTATTTGGGGTGCCTTTAGAGCAACAAGGAGAGGGTGTCCTGAGAATACCCTGACCCTCAGAGCATCCGGCAGTGAGTAGCTGGATGAGCTCCTCCTTCCCCTGATGACCATCCAGGATTTTGGACAGCTGGTGTGGATGACCTGCTTGAATTTGAACTGGCTGATGTCAGGTGGGTGAATTCCCCCCAAAGCCATGAAGTTTTCAGGATTAAAATCTGGATGGATTAACTGAACCACAACCAGGCTGTAGGTTAAAGGGGAATTATGAACACACAAGGAGCTGCATGGACATCACTGTTGCACCCAGCCCCATCTGGGATGGACACCCTAAATCCATCCCTCCAGCTCAGCCTCTTTTCCAGCCCTCATCTGCCTTAGGATAAGCATCTCCATCAGTGGGACTTCCTCGTGTTTCCCAAGGAGGTTGTTTTACAGCACTTATCTCGCTGCCTACAAGTTTTCCTTCATACTTGACCTACATTTTTCCATCCAAAAGTTCACTCCCTTCAATCATTCCCTCCACCATTCCCTCTCCCTGCTCCGTGTTTACACATCTCTAATATTTGCAGATGTCTCACGCTCCCCCTTTAGTCACAACTCAGGCGAGCTGGGCTGATTTACTCACTCCCATTTCCTGCCAGTCTCCTTCCCAGCTCCGACTCTCCCACGCTGCTTCCCAGATCCAGTCACATCCCAGCTCCCACCTGGGCTCACATGCAGCCAGGCATGGAGGCTACACTGAGTGCTCCAGCAGAGGATTGTGGGCGTCACCTGAGCTGTCCCAGCTCCAGATTTGGGTGGAAAAGGCAGCTGGAGGAGATTTCCCAAACTACTTTGGGTTCATCCTGCTCTCATGTGGAAACAGCACAAGCAGGCTCTGCATGGATCCATAAATATCCCCCCTAAAATTTTTGTGATGATTCCCATCAGGGAAGACCCCATCAGGGTCACACACAGGGACATTCGATGAATTTAATGAAAATATGGAAGGAGGCACTGCAAGGAGGTGGTGATACCACCAGGGAGGGCAGAGCTGGAGCACTCATGCAGAACCTGAACCAGGATTCCCTGGCTGCCTTCCATTCTTCCTTCCCTTTCCCCTTGAGGGAAGCACTGACCCCAGGCAGCCCTTGCCATTCCCTTGTGGCAGATCCTCCAGGTGCTGCAGCAGGAATTCCTGCAGCTCTGTAGGATGGAAACTGCCTGTATGTACTCAAAAACAGACACACCCAAGACCCGCTGGTCCAACAGGGCTCTCCCACTCCACTGGGATCAGGCTGAGACACAGGTGAGATCCCAGTGTCCTCCCATCACTCATCCAGAGAGATCCATGTCACAGACAAGGAGCAAATTCCCTGGGATGCTCAAGGTTTTGGTATCCCCAAGCTTACCCCACACAGCCTCCTTAATTTTGCTGTTAAAAAGGACATGTGAGAAGAAATTTATTCCCTGGTTAGATCAAGTAGGAAAGCTCCCTGGTTTCCATCCTCGCCCTCTCTGGATTCTTCAGGAAGCGAGTTGGGTTGCAATCAGTGTTCCTGCCATTCTGGTTTGGCTTTTGGCAGATCTCCAGCCTGGCCAAGTAAATTAAAGTGACCTCAACTCCAAAATAGCTCCAATTTGGTGCCCTCTTCCTGCATTTTTAGCTCTGGAGGACTGGCTGCATGACTCTGAGGAAGCACACAGAATTTGGGTGCCTAGGAAAGGAGCCAGCTCCACAGACCCGATTTATACAGAAGGAAGAGGACAGGCTATCTGTCCACATTGGAATTTTGGAGGTGGGATGAAAAACCTCATCCTAAAAGACATTAAAAAACCCAAAATGAATTGGATTTCTAATAGTGAATTAGGCTGTCTGCTCATGCAGCAGCAGTCAGAGGGATGGAGCTTTCACAGGGAATTCTGTGCCAAATGAGAGTTCTTCCCTGCCTGCACTATTCCCTCTGTCTCCTGGCAGCACCAGGACAGCATTCCCCACCAAACAGCTTTTCCAAAGTCTTTCTGTGTCCTTAGGATTTCTGCACAAATGTGGGCACTTCAAGGCCAGTCCAGTTGCTGCCAGTTTGTTGGAAACACTGGCACTGCTGTGGAACCATCCCAGCCACATTTTGGGAGAACTGAGGAGCAGGAATGGAGCAGCATTCTCAGGACACACCAGCACTGCAGAGGATGCAGTGTTTGGGATAGCTTGGATGCCCACTGGGAATGCCAGCTGTAATTAACAAAACAAACTGTTGTTTTCCCATCTGAACAGGAATCAATGCTTGGGAAGTTTCCCCAAGGAAAATCCTGCTAATGGCACAAACATAATAAACCCTTCTCATTAATTAGTGGCAGGGATTGGGGCAGCATCCCCAGCCCAAAATCTACTTCTCTGCAAGGGGGAGATGCAGCCTGGAAGGCAGAGAGGGAAATAGGGAGATTTTCCCTACAAAATAACCTCAGAAGGAGACCTGGGAATGTGCTTGGCCCAGAGGTGAGGATCACTCTGGAAGTTGGGCTTTGCCATCATGACTCTCCTCCTTTCCCTCTTCTCACTGGGTGCACCCAGCTCCCAGCAGGGATGGGATGAAAAATCCCTGCCAGACCCCCAGCCTGCAGCAGCCCCCTCCCCTCCCAGAGCAGTTCCTGGGACTCACATTTCCATCCTGGTCTGAGAGGAGCATCTGGAGTGGCTGTGCCTCATTAATCTTGGACACAGGGAAATGAGCACTGCTAATGAGCCGCTCGGGCAGCTCTCCAAGCTCTGGCACATGAGGATGCAGCACGGGAAGCAGGACAGGCTGGGGGGGAGAGAAGAGCCCCCCTGGATGGCAGAGGATTAAGGGAATACTGAGGTCCAGGGCCAGCCAGGAGGAGTCACAAACACATCTGCAATGTCCAATTACCACTGTATTCAATTAACTCAGACAGTAACAATGTGGAGCTTTAAACCAGCTTCTTTTAGGCTTTTTTAAAATTCTCCTTGCTATGGGCTGTTCCAACATCATCTCTGGAACAGCTGATTTCTGGTTTCTTTGATAGTTCTGGAGTTGTTATCCCTGCCTTGACACATTCACATGCTCTGGGTTAGGAGAGAGGGGACAAAAAACACCAACCCAACCCTAAACCTCAACAACTGGACAGGATTATGGGATTTGTATTGTTTTTCCTTCATTTTTAATATAAAGTTGCCTTTTGCCTGGCGATGACAGCCCTGGAGCCGCAGCTCCTCCGTTTCCCAACCAGGGGAGCCTCTGCCCATTGTGCCCAGCTCCAGAGGGCACAGAGCAGCAGGCACGGGGATGGAGCTGCCAGCAGGAATGCCTGGGACATGGATTGGATGGGATGGGGGAATGGAGATGGATGCACACAGGCTGCAGGGAATGGCACTGGTGGGAATCCCAACAGGAGTGGGTGTTCCTCAAACACCATTGGAAACTCCACACAGAGCTGCTGGGCTGGCTGGCATGTGCCCATTCCAGGCTCTGCATTACCCTACAGTCTACTCCTCTC